ATACCACGCTTGGTGATCTGAAGACCTCCAAATCCAGGCAGGCCAGCAGATGTGGCACAAATCTGGTGAAGGCCAACGCTTGACACGGGCCAGAACCTCGGGAGGACAGTTGTGTCTGCAGGTTGGGTGTTCCGCTCGACAAAATCACGAACGAAGATAGGTCCATCAACAGCACTCTGAGAGAGAAGTTGTTCGCGACTTTTGGCCGGTACTTTGACAATGATTTGCAATTGCGTAGCCCCTTCCCCACCTGGAGGGTTGCGAAAGGTCCTAAACCCGTAGAACTGAGCCCCTTCAAAGGATTTCGGCCCAAAGACCTCAAGAGCCTTCTCACGAAAGTGCATGAGCGGTGCCTGCTGGATGGCAGTGAACAAGGATTTGTCCGTGCATCGGGAATCAAGTTCAAGAACGAGCTCGGATACAAGTGGCGTTGTGAAAGAGCAAGTTGGCTTGGCAAGTGAGAATTTCACATCACCTTCGACGAGCAAGAACTGAACGAGTCTCTTATGGCTTGTCTTAAGTTTGGGATCTTCAAGGACGACCTCGAAAGGACCTTGGATGCGTGCTGCCAAAGGACCATAGGATGAAGAATCACCTGCCGACATCACGACAATGGAAGGGGCAGGAGGTTGGGTCTTCAAAACATCAGCAACACTACCCTTTGGGGCTAAAATGACTCCCCCTCTGTTCTTGGACGCCTGTAGGCGATGAATCTGCGGCACTGGCTTCTGAGCAGTGTCAACGAACGGATGCACACTTGGCAATTTCAGGTCCTCCCATCTCGAAGCCTGATGCTGGGCTTTGGCCCACGGGTCATTGACCGTGAGAGGGTCAACTGGGCCAACATTGGCGGTTGGCTGCATCGTAACATCATGTGCATCTGTGGTTCCTGCTGAGAGATAGTCAGGAGGGCCTGGCTTGTGCAAAATGCGATGCAGGAACGTGTTCCTGACAGCGTAAGCAAGCTTCCGAAGGGAGACGTCCTCAGTACTGTCGGCCCATGCCGCATTGGCATTGTCTAAGATGGACGTGATGGTCTGACCAAACTGGGATTTGGACAATGCATCGACGAGTGGCATTGCAACTTCAGGAATCGGAATTCGAAATCGGTCGAAGACACGTTTCACAAGCGACCAGCCACACATGCCTTCTGGGGTGTCGGCATCGTGGACGACATAAGTGACATTTGCAGGGTGGATGGACATGATCCGGCCAAAATACAATGCAATCTCTTGCGGTTCGGCACCTAGTGGCAAGCTGTTGGCAAAAAGCACAAAGAGAGATTGGCCATGAAGAAAAATGTCACACTGCACACACGAAGAGGAGCAATGAACTCCGTAAACCCCACAAGAGGGGTCTGTGCCCCTGTGATGGACTTGCACGATGCTGACTGCGGATCCCACAACAAAGGCGTGACGATCAAGGTGTGCGAAGCATAGATGCGAGCTACATCTAATGCATGGTCGATCTCATCACTGGCAGCCCAAGTTGGCTCGCATCGGAAATCTTCAAGCCTCCGGTTGAGGTAGTCAAACAGGAAGTGGGGAGTCTCCCCGGAAAAAGCGGTCATGGTTGTTGCCCTTGTCTTTGGATTGACTGCAAGCGAATGCGCATTTGTCGACAGCGGCTGTGCTACTGCTGACGAAAGGTTCGTGGTGGTGCGAGCGAGGTGAGCCAGGAACTTCGTCCTCAGTTGAGTGGCAAAACGCAGAAAGTTATGATCAATACCGATGGCTCTCCAATCCTCTTGACTGGCTTCAATTGCTAGTTGAAGCGACTGCAGTTTGGTTGGTGTGATCTGGGAGAGATCAACCGGAATTTGCCATTCCTCATCCGAAATCAAGGTGCTCCAACGACGCAAAAGTGTCCATCCACACATGTTGAAGTGCTGTTCTGGCCAAGTTTCAGTGACGTTCAGCTTGGACGGCACGACATCGAAAATGCCTGCAAGGATCGTCTGGAGTCTGCTCTGGAGTTCGACAGGGACCTGCACGAATACAATCTGGATGACATCGGCAAGACGCATGACTTCAACCCCTGACCAATGGTTGTCGACCAATACAGGCAAAATCGAAATGGTGTTGTTCGGAAATCCAAGGGAAGTGCCATCAGAGAGAGTCAAATGGTTGACCCTGCTATCCCAGAACACCGGATCAAGGAAGGCGATGTTGGGGGTCATCCAATTAAGGCTGGCAATGTGGAACCATGCTTCATCAGTGGCTAACCAACCCTCTGTGTTGCAGGCAAACTCGCATCGGTCAGCGAACATTGCACCTGGCAGCAAGACCTGTCTCTTTTTGCAAATGTCATGGACACCCCCGGCTCGAATGCACTGAGGAGGGACAAGGAAGATGTCACCATCCTGCGGTTGGCAAGGTACCTGAATGGGGAGGCCATTGTGCAAAGTGCCTGAGGGCCAGCTTTCACGTGCCTCTGTGACAACAAAGGCTGAGGTCCCATCTGGATTGGGCGACTCTTGCAAGACACATTTCCCAGCATGATGCATGGTGTCACTGTTCTTGACGATGAACCCTTTGATGCCCTGCCTCCAGCGAAAGTTCTGGTGCAAAGAGATGATGACAATCTTGGCTGGCGGAATCAGAACCTCGAAAGCAGTACGAAGGCGTGCTGGGAATTGACTCTCATGACCATCAAATGGAGTAAAGGCCCACATGTTTCTTTCAGCCCAAATGATGAACGTGCTGCTTGGTGCAAGAGTGATGCAGTTCAAGTTCTCAAGGGCTTCAATGACTTGCATGAATCGCAGTTCTTCAATGCTCAAAGGCTTACACAAAGCTTGCGTGACTTGCGGACATAGCTGATCTGCGCGTGGAGTTGGAATGACAGGTGATGGGCCAACATGGCTCGAACAACCGTCCCATGCCTGCACAGTACACAATTGATACCCCCCAAGATAGAGCTCGAACTCTTGCGTCTGTTCGATGAAAGGCAAAGCAAGACCAACTGGAGTTGGGTGCAACGAAACATGCTCAACACGAATCTGCATCATTTGGTGGAACTGCAAACGAAAGAGCATGGCAGCAAGCTCGCGAAAGCTCATATGTGCACCGATCTCGATCGGGAACTTCTCATCAAGGAAGATGACCTGGGCATTCGGTGCGAGCACGTGAAAGATTGGCTTAGGCAACGAATGCACAAATTGCACAATATTGCGAATCCACACATGGTCGGCAGTGACCTCAAGAACAGTTGTATCTGCATGAATCCTGCTTAGCCAGCACTTGCGAAGGGTCTCCTGAATCGGAATCTGCAGGCTAGTGGTCGATGCAAGCGTGACCAGGAAACACAAGAGAGCCTGAGGGACACTCATGGCATTCCCGATTTGCTGGAAGGCTTTTGCAACATCAAGAGGGAAAGCAAGATTGGTGACAGTGCCGAACAGTGCAATGAAACGGACTGGGTCAAGAAACACGAACTGATTGTTGTCTTCCGTGATGCTTGCAAAAATCCCTCGCCTTTCCAAGTGATTGCGATCAAGGCAGTGCTGTTGTGTGTAGGACGAACAGAGGGTGGCAAGTGGATCACTTGGGGAGGGAATTCGGGCACGAACAACCTGCAGAGTTGATTCGGCGGACTGAACCCTGGACCTTTTGGCTGGCGGCAACAACTGAAGATCACCATACGTTCGCATGTGCTCTGGTGATAAACGAAGCTGCTGCATGACTTGTTGGGGCAAAGAGAAGTGATAGCGGGAGTCATTCCATGGAATGATGGGTGGCACCATCAACCTGAACAAATTGTCAACGGCAGTGGCTTGGACATCATGTCGGACCCAGACCGAAAACCATCGGTTCCTGTGGTGATTGGCAAGGAGATGGTAAGGAATGATCTGTTCCCATACTTGCTTGTACCCTAGATGGTTCATGAGAGCTCCAAACACGGGAAAGTGGTGATGTGACTTGATCGCATCAGCGCACTCAAACATGGCCGCATTGGGCTGACTTGCAAAGAGAAGCTCAATTGCATCTACAAGAGCCATGCCGTGGATGGAGTCAAAACCTCCACCCTTGCCGCCAAGTGACCAGGATATGCACGGGGGCGAAATCGTGGCCAGCATGTTGAAGGGCATACGAATGGCATGAAGCGCAGTCATGTCAGCTATGGCAGCCTCGACGATGATCTTTCGCTTGATAGCAAAGTCTGCACTCGGTACCAATGGGGCTTTGTCAATATTGGTTCCATGATTGAGGCTACACGTGCGAGTCACATGTGGCTCCCAATCAATGAAAACTTGACGGTCAATGACAAACCCGGCATTGGAGTCTTGCAGCCACTCTGCAGCTTGTGCCCAGCCTCCGTATCCTCCAGCAAACATGTGACAAATCGCCCAATGTAGTTCAGGTGCCATGGTTGGAACATGAACCACAGAAACACCAGGATGAAATTCAAGCGTTGTCATTCCCACATCCGCAGTCTTCACAATACCAGCACAAAGGATGCGCTCGCCTCCACAAAGTAGGGGATACCTGTGGTCCAATCCTGAAATGCGAATCTTGGCAGTTTTGCGATCTTCTTGAAGCCAGTCAAGGCCAACGCGTGGCAGAAAACGGCAGAGGAAGCCATCAATCCAGTCTCGGGAGATGGAAATGATCTCAACTGCTACCACCTTGCGAGATCCAATGTCCCACGCATAAGTATCTTCTCCAAACTTGTCGAAGACACCTTGCAGCTTGCGATCAAGATCCGGGTCTCGCAGAGACGGACCCCAAGCGAAAGCAGCCATGGAACTAACTACCAAAGGACGCGGGATGAACCAACGGTCAGTAGAACCGGGTGGGCGCGAGGAGTCGTGCCCTTGTTAGACACTGGACTCCGCTATGCGCGGCCACCCAGTCCTGGGGCCCGTGAACTCCCTGAGGCCTAGGCCTTGGAGCCAGACGCCTATTAGGGGGGTTATTAATCAAGTATTAGCTACGTACTTCATGGATGCTCTCCAGCATTGTGCGGTCTATGGGATCTGGATACTCTCAGGCTTCTGCCAGTGACATCTGCATACTTCTTCAGCTGTGACGCGGTCGTTTCACAGGTCGCGCGCACCGTTGGCACGCGGCCTCGCGCGACACACTCTGAGCTTGGGTGAAAGCAGCTCACGACAGGGCTGGGGTGGATGTTTGACACAGCACCACACCATTTAACTTTGGACATGGGGGCAAAGAACATGTGCAAATTCCAAAGTCTTTCTGTTTCAATTGAATTCACTCTTGATCCCTTGGTGGCACCACCCTGCTCGCATCGCGTCATCCGGTGCGTCCAGCGATCCTCCACAGCCAATCTCCAGGATCACGAGTCTCATCATCTTGCCGCGGGACACGCGCGAGGTCCTGGCAGCGTCGAGTTTGGCCTCCCTTTTTTCGGTTTCCGTTTCGCTACCTGTTTTCCAAAGGGCATCGCTAGTAGGAACAAGAAGCTACTACGGGCTCCTGGAGGTTCGTTTCCGTTTCTCTGGTAGCATCCCCAGGGTAGTGTAGGATGTTTTCCTTCAGGTGGAAAAAAGCATCCGCCGTGGGCTTCGGCTTACCAATGATGCTCAATGATGGCCAAGATAAGTGCCTCATTGCATTGCCCAGGCCCGGCAAACCTGTAGCTTCTTCAGGATCTTCCACCAAAAGACTCTACTGAACACCTTCGAACTCTTCCAGGGAACTTCCAGGACATCGATTCGGCATCGATCGATGCATCCGGTCCTCGCGACGTCCAAGACGACGTCCTTCCAGCGCTGGAAGCGGAGCTCCTGCCGCCCCGCGGGGGCTCAACGCGCGCGGAGTCGGCGGAGCTACGTGGGTCGTGGTGGAACATCGTGCGTCGCTGGACGAATGAGGCTCCATCGCCAGCGTCCCAAAGTCTCGCACCTGCTCCATGTCACTGACCATGTGCGTGTCGTTGAACCTCGTGGCTTTTTTTCGGGGTAGAGGACGCGAACCGAACGGAGCAAAGACGGGCATCGCGACACGAACGGAACAAGGACGCTACGAAGGGGGGCTCCTGGCCTCGCTAGGGAACGGGGCGATCGGACGCTGTTTTTCGGAGTTCCAAACATCCGAACCCATTTGGGATGGATCTCATGAAAGCGGCTGCAACACTCGATGCGGCGCCAAAAAAGGATGCTTTCTGCGACATTTAACACTGCTATGTCTAACCATGGTTTAACAGGTCCATCACCAGGTCTTTGACACATCTTGGAGTGCTTCCGATTCTGGTCTATAAAACCTGAAGACTTCAACAAAGAAACACGTCCTGCAGGCCATGCTCTCCGTTTCTCCCGCTTTCCATGCTCTACTTTTCTTGGGATCTGATGAAACAATGGAGCCCTATTTAAACTTTCACATCTGAATTCAGATCAAAGGACTTCTAACAAAATGACACTTCTCCCAACTCATTCTCGGAGTCAGCTTTCACCACGAAATCCTCCCAGTTCCTCATCTCTGGGACTGGGACATCAGCACATGAGGCCGTGCCAGTGACTTACACCATGGGCAAATGGGCCTCGAGCTTTACTGATGCGATCCGAACCGATGCGGTTTCGAAGAGAATGGGATCAAAGGTGGGTAACCCCCCAAAGACGGAAGAAGGTACCAGCTCAACCCTGGCCGATGACCCGAGCCGGTCGAAGCGCAACGAGACGAAGACGAAAGAGACGCAACGAGGCTCGACGCGACGGTCCCTGAGGCGTCCCGCCAATTCTCATCCTTTCGCTTGAACGAATGCTCCACCTGTGTTTTCACCTCCAAACAAAAGGACAGCTAGAAAGATGAAGATCTCTTTCTTGCGAGATAGGAAGGTCTTCACTGTTCCAAGCAAAAAACACGCTTCGTCTGGCAGCCTTGCACTGTTGTTGAGTTCTGTTCGCGCTGAGCTTTGGAGATTGGAACCCAACTACTTCGCCCTCCGGCCAGAACTGAGCTGAGCAATATCAAGCCTAGATCTGGTAGTAGCGCGCAAAAACACACCATGAAAAAAGAACGACTACAAAGGTGAACCAAGATTCTGCTATCCTTCCCTATGGAAAAACATGTCTATACCAGTGGTCAGTGCTGCGTCACGACTTCTGATTCTGGTCGTTTTCTCTGTCAAGTCCATGGTGGTCAGTGCTGTTGAACCTCACACCGGTCACAGGCCGGAGGACACACGTTTCCCGGAAAACCGAGCTAAGAGCTAGCGATGTTGGCCACTCTGTTTTCAGAGGCCAAGAATATTCGGCCAAGTGCAGTGCACACCCCAAAAGATCTGAGTGGAGGCTGTCCAAAAGGCAAAATCCATGAGACTTGAGTTTGCACATGTTTGCTCTGTTGGGTTGGCACTCTCTGTCCAGCACTTGGTACTACCAGGCACACAGGTACCTCTGCCCTCTTGGCCCGTGAAGTCACTCTTCTTGGGTCAACATCTCGGGCTTGGTGTGGAGGCCATCGCTATAGTAGGTTGGAGGCCATCGCTATTAGATTGGAAGCCATCGTCAGTCGGTTGGAGGCCATCGCTCCTAGGGTGGCCTCCTTTTCACCTCTGGCACAATCAGCACGCATGTTTGCCATGTCATGACATCGGGCCGTCCACTTGTTTCTATCCGCCTTCTAGGCATCCAATTCTCTAGCAATTGACAAGCCCTGCTCATAAATCTCCTCTGCGTGGAGAACTCCACAAGGCTTTGGGCCATGAAGATTATTGAGCACATCTCACAGAGATGGTGTCCCGATTTGCAACACAGCACATGGTGTATCAAGCTCTACCCCTTGTATCAACAACTGCAGGGTTTGCCAAAGAATCTAGGAACCAAATCATTAGAAGCGTGAACTATCCTGCGTCCTTACTGGGAGCAAACTAGTCGCCCTTACTTAAGTAGGCACCTACTTAATCAAGTAAACAGGCAGGGGCCACGGGCTAAAAACTGAAAAAATAACAACCTATCAAACTATCTCAAGTCTGCCTTCCATGGCCGTAAACAATCATGCCAGTTTGACCGGAATCTCTCCAGGACACCATCTCTTTGGGACGGACATACCTGGTGCTGCGGATCTGCCTCAACTGACGTGGCTCCGCTGACTTGACGTCTCGAGGCCTGTGCAGATCACGGTCCCCCACAGTGCAAGGAAGACAGTATCGTCCCGTTCGGTTCGCGTCCGATCGCTCCGTTCGTAGCGATGCCCGAAATGCTCCGAACGTAGCGTCCGATCGCTCCTAGATCATCTTCAACTTGTTTGGTTGTGTCCTTGTAGAAACACACCACGATTCTTTGTGTTTCGATGAAAGCACCAATGGCCAAAGCCCTAGGGGGTACCCACCGATGTGTTTCGGATGAATGGCAATCGTTGAAACCATCGAAGAGCACGACAAAGCTCTTCGATCCCCAGGGGAGACCTCGACTGGGTGTGTCTTCGGCAGTCGACCTCCCAGCGAACCTCTGGGGAACGACATGGGTTGGGAGGTGCCCTAGGTTGGTAGATTCCTTTCATTCCCAAGGGCCCGGCCTTGCCATCGAACAACAGAAGAACCCGTTTGACCGAGTGTCTTTGTTCCGCAGTGGTGCAGCCAGGCTCCGTCTCAGTCCAACGTCCCAGACTTGATTCATCCCACTCAGCCGACGTATCAACATCAAGCTCAACAGTCTTGAACATCGAATTATCCGCGAAGCTTCGTAGAAAGAAACACGTGCTTCATCGATTTTCTTCATGTACATCTGTACATGTTCGACCTACTAAACAGAGGTCTCGGTTGCGCCATTCGCTGCAAACGCACCCACTACTGGCACCAGTTCAGTGGTGCTGGACGACCGATGAAGTCGACGAAAAGCACCGCTCTTTTCAACAGAGTCCCTGTGATTTCACCGTGGGTGCCCAGAAATCATGCTATGACATGTATACCTGTATACCTTTCTCCTCGACTTTGTACCGTGGCGAACGGCAAATTCATGGATTTCCAGGGAGTGTAAACCGTTGAACGCCGCCTGTGTTCGGTGGTTCTTTTTCGCCCAGGAAGTCACCCCGGCCTCGCGCGGCAGTGGCTCCTGAAGCGATGCCAGGAGCGGGAGTGGTTCCCACACCATGACGGCGGTAAAAGCTGTTTGTTTTTGTTTTTCTTTAATTTTTCCCCGTGGGTTTACACAGTGGCAGCATTGAACAAATAGATCATCGATCAAACCATCTCATCATCTGGACACTGTGGGTTTTCAGTCTTTCGCACCAAACGAACCGCCGGAAGATCTGTCGGAAGCTGCTGGTCCCCCCCCGACGCGATGCCACGCTCGCTCCCGTCCTTTCGTCATGCGATCCTGAGACGTTTCGTCTCGGACGAGATCGACAGAAGGAGTGAACCCGTAGCGTCCGATCGCTCCGGTCATAGCGATGCCAGGAGCCCCGTTCGGCCCGTTCGTAGCGTCCTTGTTCCTAGAAGTAAGGCCAGGAGCCCCGTTCATAGCGAAGCAGTGAGCTGATTTCGGAGGGGAGCTGGGACGAAACCAATTCCCCCAGCTTCGGGTCTTCTACGACGCTCGTCACGGACGGAACATCGTGACATCCCACGGATCCCTCCTTCTCGATTTCTGCGCAAGGGGGGGGGGTGTAGGTCCTGATGCTCATCTCTATATCGTTGCACAAAACCAAGGATTGGATGGAGGTTGGAGGCCATCGCTAGTAGGTTAAGAGAGGTCCTGATATAGTTCACCATGGGTCACCATCCAGTTCACCTCGATCCGATGCTCATCCGATCCTACCGACGCTCCAGACCGGTCCACTTGGAGGATGGAGTGTCCATCACTGGTGGCCGATCTGAAGTCGTGTTAGCGTTACGGCGTTTGTGTGAAACTGCAGAAGGCTAACACGGACGCTCACGATCTCAACAGCCTTCTGCAAGGCTTGAGGCCTTCTGTTCTAACGATCTCAACCTTCTCAACGGCCTTGTTAAGAAAGACGACGCGGCCGATCTCAACGGCTGACCAAACGGCTCTGAACATTCCAACTCTTCCTGCTATGTCCTTCCTCAGGTGAACCACCGGGCGCCCAGTACGTTCAACGGATTACGTCCCAAACCCAGGAGTTTCGTTCGTAGCGTCCGATCGCTCCGGACTCGTAGCGATGCCCGAAATGCTCCTGGCCTGGTAGATGCTCTTGTAGAATTCTCCCGCGCGATAGGAGGAGCGGACCATTGGCCCAGAGGCCACATGGAGTCCCAGAGCCTCGTCGTCGGCCCCCCGTGACCGGGGTGCATCGGTGTTTTCGGGTCTAGGGGTGCTAGACCAAGGTGTGGGGAGAAACCACCTGACATGTGTGGGGAGAACGTGTTCGCTGTCTCTCCAAGGCATTGGAAAAGAAAATGGTTCGAGTGATGCATCAAGCACCATTCAACACCAAAGATGGAAACAACAGCCTGAAGAAAAAACACATGGCAAGTGTGCCCCACAGACTGCAAAGCATCATGCTGAAACGCCCTTTTTCCTCTGCCCGACTCACCTTCAAAGCTAAAGAAAGACGCTATGATGCAGGCCAAGTTGCCCTGTGTTCTAAAGAGCAGCATGTTTCTCACTCCACTGAAATATCAGTTGTGAATCCAATTGCTTCGCGCCAAGACAGCAGGATCTGCAAACGTATCATGGACATCTTCTTTTGCCCCACTGTTACCTTTCTAGAGAGGGCTGACCGCAAGCGAAATGGAGCTACGTGACACGTGGTTTCTCTCAGACGCTGCGTTCATGCCTGGATGGGGCTACGCGGGGCTGCGTTTCGGTCTCGGTACTCTGGGACTGGAGTCCGGCAAAAAGTAAACACACATCATAACAAATCATTGCTTCCTTTGCTTAGAATTGTTGCTGTTGTTGTCGGATGATGCTTACAATTTTCTTTCTCTAAATATCTATCACAAACTCTTTTTTCCTTCCTTTCATTCTTTGGAGCGTTTTCTACTTTTTCTTGAAAGACCACTCTCTTCCGGTCCTCTAAATGTCTATTGCGAACGGATGGAAAGGTGTGCCCTGGCCCCGTTCTAGCCCTTAGTTCAACATGAAGCTCGCGCGCTAAAGCTCTTTTTTACCTGGTTGGGCACTTGAGCCAAAAGTATATGGCATGTACCTGTATAGCGACTATACTGGGACCCCATCCCTATTGACACCCCCCACATCCGTACTTCGACGGGGAAGGGAGATGAGTGGATGTAAAAAACCGGAGAACGAATCGTGTTCTCAAAAGTGTATTGGAGGTCAACCAGTATGTCCTATTGAATCGAATTAGCAAAAGATCTTGCATTCGCTTGAAAGTTGGATCAAACAGGTAATGGAGCTACAAACGGAAAACGTGCATCTACCTATGGTATCATGCGATTACCAACGGTGTGAAACACAATCCTCTCTCACTCCCATGATGCCAAAACGGTCATCATGAATTACCCAAGATCCCTCAGCACTTGAAGTACCGGAAGTGGCATGTCGGTATGACCCCAAT